ATGCATGCCTCTATCAGTAATTGAACATGCATACAACATTCTTACCGAATGGTGCAATCCAACTAATCCTACATAGGTCACTTCGGATCTACTAGAAAAGTCTCTGCGTATGCAACTTGAGTCAGAAAATCTGACAAAAGTTGGATAGAAATCGCTAAGACAATTTCTCTAATACCAAATGTAGCACACCTGAATTTGGAGCCGAACTCCAAGCCCATTGCGCTACGAAACGAGGGTCCGGTACAATCCCACAAGCACCAACTCCTCGTATCCAGCACCTGTACGCAAAATAGTGTCAGACGAAGTCTGGCACAATTTTGGCATACCGGTGGCCTAACGCGAGGTGGAGGGTACTCCACCAACTAGAGCAGCGTGGAGCTTGGGCTTAGACCCAAGCCGGATGTAGAACAAGGAGCGACACAGCCTAACAGGAGCCAAACTAATGTCTCAGGTGGTCAAACATGCATTCCAACCACTATCCCTACTACACATTTGGAACCCCCCATAGCCCCCCCCCCCCCCTGAGGAACACACACTTTGGGCTTTCACCCCAAGCCTCCCTTAGTACCAGGAGTTAGTCTTTGGGACAAGCTCGAAACTTACTAAATATGGAATGGCGCTAGATTGCAAATTTGGACACGGGACGAACACCATTGTGTTCAGGACAATCTTTACATGCTGTAGATATGCCAAATGAGTCACTAGCTAGTGCAAGACATAACGAGACAGGAACTCCTTACCAAGCTAAATATGCTTAGCTAATAGCATGTAGGAATTCCGTCCTTATGCTTGTCCGGTCTAAGTACACTCAAAATGCCCAGTTAACTCCACTAGCACAGAAGGGGCTACTAAAGGGATCCAACTGTACTGATCTTCTGCCGTCATGGTAGTAAGGAAAGAGTGTCTGTAAGGACCGGTCGACAAGTATCTTTCGATACCCGAAGTCACATTCGCGACACATCAATTGTAAATGATCATTAAAACTAGTCCCCACAAAATAAGAAGGTCATTCTCAAAGCAATATTGATGTCGAAATAGCAAGTCATTAGCAAGTGTTTTAAAATTTTTAAAAATTTTTAAATTTTTAAACTTTCAAATTCACAACTCTGCCTTTTGAGCCTTATAAACTTAGTAAAAAGAAAATAAATTTTGCTCCACACCATATATATATATATATATATATATATATATATATATATATATATACTTCTTCACTTGTTAAGTGAAATTTAATGCTTTTGTTAGTGCATTTGTGACTATTATTAGATATTTCCTTCTCAATTGAGTGTTGTTATAACATTTTTATCAAAGCAAATTCTTTCAAATAATGGTCAAGCATTTATAGCTAAAATGTTTCAAGTTTTAGTATTTTGGTTAAGGATATACCACAATTTCATAAGTTTTTATCATCAAAAATGGATGGTTTTGTGGAATGGCTTGGTTTGGACCTTCAAAATCATAAAATACATGAATTTTTAGCATTCAAATTGAGATAATTATTTACCATTTTTTTTATATACATATGTCATAGAGATATAGAATTCTATTGATGATTGCTAATAGAGTTGAGTCAACCTTTGTAATTGCCACAAGCAACTACAAAAGAATCAAGAACACTTAGCACCACTTATAAATCTAACAATGCTTCCTCCTAATGTTTTTTCAGATCCTAGCCTATCAACTATAGAATTTTAATTTTTTTTTATCCTTTTGAGAGGAAGGGATGATGTGAAATCCAAATGTATAACTATGATACCATATATTATTATTAGTGTAGTGGGATTTATATAGGTATCAATCCGGGCCACTTGCTCTTACATATAAGCTAAGGTTTTTAAGCTGTATATTTTTATATTCCATTTTCATATTCTATGTACTCACAATATTAAAATTAAAAATAATTCAAAAGTTTATAACAAAATATTTCTCTAAAGTTTAAATTTATTAGTTTCCCAGTAAAAGAGTAACTCCCAATAAATTAAACCATATCAAATGTTTTTTTGAGTATTGAAAAATTCTTCCAATATAAATAAAATGCTTCCATCTCTGACTAAGCACTTACTGGCCACCAATTGTTTTTATAAAAACTTGTCACATAATACAAAATTGCCACACGGTTAAGTAATGCTGTGTAGTTATTAAATATTAAAATGCCAATGATCCATTGTCTATTCTTCCCTTTGCCTCTAATCTTCTGTTTCAAAAACTCCTGCTAGTGAGAGCTCCTTCCCACATTCAATTCACAAAGACAAGAATCCCATTCTCTCAATAAATAGCCTATTCTCTTATTCGTAGCAATTTTCAACTATTAGTTTGTGCCTTCCTCTCACCAAATGGCCTTGATTGGTTGATGGAAATATGTAGTAAAGATCAAATTCCAAGAGACTGAGGCTGTGCCCAGCATGTGATTGAATGTCAAGCTCCCCTCCTTGATTCACCCACTTCAGGCATAGGCAACCTTCCTCCCTAGCGGGTGCATGAGTGAAGGCCTCCTTGGCTTGATTGATCTGCCCGGCTCTCACACAGCAGGAAGAGCTCCCCGCTACAATTGATGGGTATTTTCCCCAAACCTGTGAGCTCTAATGCCTGCGATTAATTGTCAGATCCGACAGGTCAAGATTTCCAAACAAAATCAGTAGCCAATCTTAACTTGCCCATTGTCTTTGGAAATGTCTACAAGATCTTTCAAATGCAAGTTACTGTCAAAGGCAAATGCAGGCCAAGGGCTGATTGCATCCTAACTCTAGCCTCATAGAGAGCAAAACCCATTCAAAATGTATTAATTTTTTTGAGTTATTTCCCTTGGTTTTCAGTGTATGGTAAATTGTACTAAAGTTAAATTCGGAATTATAAGGGTAAACTTTCAGGGGTATATGAATAATTTTCCCAAGAACTCTTCTAAATGCAATCGTCCACCCAAAAACTACCAATAGTGGAAAGAAGGAATTTTACACTACTACAAGAGGACCAACAAGTTGATCCCATCACGGTAGTGAGTTGACTTAAACTAAGAGCTATTCACTTTCGGCCCTTTACTGACTTTTGTCCCACGCAGCCAGGGATGTTAATGAAATTCAGGGCATTGTGACTCCATACTTGTTAAACTAATAAAAAAGTGTACAAAGACAAAAGGAAAAGGATGTATTATTTTGAAGTCATGATGTGTTCCAACAAAAATGAAGTACGCTAAACTAGCAAAAGATTTGGTCAAACTGGTCAGCTCTTGTGTGTGTCGCTCGTCTCCACAACACCACGATGATCATCGCCATCACCTGGATCATGACCCAGAGCCAAGCCAAACCCATCCAAAAAACAAGACGGATCCTGCGAACCCCTCCCACCGCCACCCACCTCCTCCGCCGCCACCACCACCTCCGCCACCTGATCCGCCGCCGTTGTGACGTTAGAAGATTTTTGGCTGTTGCTACTGCTGCTAAAGATCCACGACAATCCATCGCATTGGGAGGCCAGCGGGCCAGCCATGATCTCCGCCATTGCACCACCGCCGCCGCCGCCACCACCACAACCATCATCGCCATCGCCGCCACCACCGTTGACTCTGTATGTTTCTTCTTCTGCGGCTGCAAAGGCATTCGCCGCCGCCGAGTAGCCGCCCAGCGATAGCAGCTGGTGGTGGGGCTCGAAGTCCACCGCCATCTCCAGCTGGTTGAGCGGCGACGCAGAGATCATCTCGGAAGAACATGGCCCAAGCTGGAGCGATGGGAAATGATGATCCTGCTGCTGCTGGTGATCCTGCTCCTCGTGTTGCTGCTGCTGCTCCTCGCTCTTGACCGAATCAAGTGACTGTTGGCGATCGAACGCCGCCGCCACGCCGCCGCTGGCGGCATCGGCTGCTCCTCCACAGTCGAGGATATCCGCCGCAGCCGGCGGTATCACGAGCATGTCGTCGCCGGGGAAACCCGCGGTACCACCGCCGCTGCCGGCTGCATGGTGGACAATGTACGGCATGTCGGCGCAGTAAGACGCGCGGTGCATGGCGTCATCATCCGGCGGGGCCGCCGGCTTGGGCTGCTCGGGCTGTACGACGTGGGTGCTGGACATGTTCCAGCTCTGCGACAGCTGAAAGGTGGCGGCGAGGTTTGGCGGTGGCTGCGCCGAGGATGGGATCCTGGAGCCCGAGCTGAAGCAGTCGCTGGAGGACCTCTGGAGCTTGTGGTTTTGTCCCGTCACCCTGATCGATCACAAAAATCAGCAAAGAACTTGTATTGACCATGAATTTACCATGGAAGGCCTTGTTGGAGGACAAGTTGGCGGGCATGTAGCAGCTGCTCCCGTTCCCTCTCTAAAGAATACGAACCAAGATCAAAGTTAGCCCCAGTTAGGCAGAGATTCAATCCCGAGAAATTGGTTAACATGCCTTGGCGATGGCGATTCATGTGGCCTCCCAGCGCTTGCGACTTCGCAAACTTCATCGGGCAGAAGCGGCACTCATACGGCTTGAGAGCCGCCTCGTCCTCGCTCGAATCCGACTTGCGCTTCCTCTTCCCTGGATCAAATCGACCAATCCACAAATCAATCTTCTTCTTCTTCCGAGAGATTCACACAAGAACTAGAGACAAACTCTAGATTTTTCTTTGTTTTTCTTCTTGGAAGGAATGTTAGTGGAATTTGGAGGAGGAACTGACCAGATATTTCACTCCCGGCAGTGCTGCTATTGGAAATCTCCGGCGCCGGAGGAACGCCCAGTTTCCACTGCGAGGTGGCCTCCTGGACCTCGCTAGAAACATGCACCACGCTCGCCCGCTTAAACAAATCCGGCGGCACAAACCCCCCGCCACCCTGCTGATCGCCACTCTCGCCTTGAAACTCGGTTGCCTCCCTCGCTCGTTTGATCTCGGCCATGACGAGACGAAAGAGACGAAGAAGAACAAGACCAAGAAGAAGAAAATCGAAGAAAGAAGAAATCTCCGCCCGCTTCTACCAGTGGAGTGAATCATCTCGGCTTCCAGGGCAGGGCGATGCGTTGATGGATCGATCTTGTTGCGCGCGCGATGAATCAAAACTCCTCCTCCCAAGAACCCACTGCCCAGCAATCTTCATCTACACTCATTCCTCTGTGTGTTGCCAGCCCGCCAGGAGCTCACTCTCATTCCAATCAATCCAATCAATCAATCAAATCAATCCAGAGCTCCGAGAGACAGGAAGACCGAGAGAGGCAACCGAGAAAGAAAAGAGAAAAATTTCTCTGGTTTTTCTTTCCTCCTCCTCTTGTTTTTTTTTTACTGCCACCAACAAAAATCCCTGCGGTCCGACACCCTTCGATCCGCCTCTTGGAGGGCACAAACGAGAGCGCATGCCTACAGCTTCCGCCACGTGGCACGCGTAGTATCGCCATTGGGCGCTACGCATGCTCGGTGCCCAAACTTAGGGCTCTTGGGGGGGCTGGGTTTGTCGCCCACGAGATGGACACTCCCAGGGTCAAGATGTGGACGTGGATCGCCACCGGGGTCATGGCCGTCGTTGTGCTGAGCGAGAACTATGGAGACGAGCCGCATGCCTTGTCCGGGGTAAGCAGCGACTGCGAGCTTCTTCTTTGCCACATTCTTTGCTGCCGATGATGGTTTCTTCCGGATTTTTCTCTGCCCCTCCCAGATCCAAAACTCGATCCGGAAGTTCAAGCGCTGGGTTTTCACTCCCAGCTCCAAGGAAGTGGACGAGCTCCAGACGAGATATAGATTGCGGCTGGATATCAAAGACAAAGTAGATCGTGAATGAAGAGCATGAGTGAGAGAGTGAAGTAGAAAGTTTCTTACTTCTCGTTCGCGTAGAATATAAGAGCTTTGCTTATCTCGGCCACAGGTCTCCCATCTCGGCTTCGCTCGCCAGTGAGTACATTGCGATGTTGTCTTTGGTGACTTTGATGTCTTCCAAGCTCGCGTCGGTGGCGTTTCTTCCCGTAGGAACGCAGACCGGGACCGTGATTCCATTGCCCAGCTTTGTGGGAGGCCTCACGATTCTCATCCATCCGCCTTGGAGATTTGCCACCTTGTCTTCCTGTGATGGTTCTGATCAAGGCAAGGTGTGAGTGAGAGGAGAGAAGAAGCACTGTGAGCTGAGTTACGCACCTACAACAGGAGCTCCTTCTTTGTATCTATCCAGAGGCCAAGCTCCCCTGAAAAAAATGCTTTTTCAGAATCGCAAGCAAAGAGTCGCAATGTGTACCATTTTCTGAAGCCTCGACGCATCACAACGAACGAGAATGACACCTTGTCAAGCTTTTTGGCCTGGCAAAGAAAAGCTGGAGAAATGAGAACAGAGAAAATGAGATAAAGAGTACCTCCTGTGCTTGGATAGCTTGGATGAGGCCGCAAATCCCTCCATTCACATTCCTACTCATCGGGCAAGTACCGTCGTGCGCGCACTGGAAAAGGAGTGAAGGAGTTTCGTGGATTGGTTGGTCACTGGTTGCTTACCGGCGCAACGACATGCGCACCGAGATCGCTGTGAGCTTTGGGGTCCGACGCCGGCAAGTATAAGCCTCTATACTGACCACGCACTCTCTGTAAAGTGCGACTAACATGAGTTTGATCGTGATCCAGATTGCTTTACGTACGTGGTTCTCGGTTGTCATGACGCGGTCGCGCAACCTTCGCACAAGTGCGGATCCATGCAAGGTCCCCGGCTCGATGATCACCTGGCCAGAGACAGATTAGTGCGAGTGTCAACAGCTGTCCACACATTTTACCAGCATGTTGTGAGTAAGTGTCCACAGATAATTTACCACGGCCATCCTATGAGCCATCGAAGGCACCTCGTTCATAGCAAATGACTGCAGTTATCAGAAATTTACATTTTCAGTGAGCGAAACTTGACGCAAAAGAACGACTTACGCATATAACAAGGTCGTTCGTCTTCTCGTCCCTCCTTGGACTCCGTCCTGCATTTGGGAGGACAGTTCGATATTTCAGCAGCGGCATGGTTTCGACCCCTGCTTGGAAAGAATTCAGAGAGAGCTTTCAGTGGTTGCTGGGAGCTTACTGCAATACCTTCGGCAAGAGATTTACATACACTTGTCATAGCTGCAGAAGTTTCAATGAGAAAAGCTGTCTTCATCTGTTCCGGCCATAACTCTCGAATTGCCCTGAAAGAGAAAGCAAAATATTTTCATTGAGCAAAAGAAACGGAAACCAAAGTCTTACCAGAGGCTCGTTCCAGGTCCACTCCCGAAATCAAGAACCTGCCGAGGTCGAAAGTCTGGAATTCGTCGTTTCACCTGGACATTCAATGAGCTTTTAAAACCAGCAAGTCGGCAAACTACCTCGGAAAGCACACGATAAAGTGCAGCATAAGTCGATGGCATGCTTCTTGCGGCAAAGGCAACTGCATCATCCATAAGATACTTGACAGGGCCTTGCTCCGTTGCCAGAATCCAGGACTTGACTTTCTCTTTCTGTGCACCGGGGTTGAGAGTTCTTAGCTGCCTCGAGCAAGCCAGCTCCTCGTCGGCCCAGAACGACTTGACTGCCTCCATGCGAGTGATCGACTTGTCTATATCAACCTCCGGATGCTCTGCGCAGACATACCATCATTCTTCCAATCCGCTTCCAAGAACAACTCACTCACATCATACAAACCTCGCAAGAGTCTCTCGACTTGGGACTGCAGCAGATCAGGAATGCGGACTGGTGGTACCCTTTGAAATGCTGCCGCTGCCAGCGCGCGCTTCTTGAGTATCAGATCGGCCTTGCTGGTGCTGGCCATTGTTGTCAAACTCTGAGCTCCAAAACCCTAAACCCTTCCCGTGAAAATCTTGGAGGAGCCATCTAAAGAAGTCTGTAGATCATTTTCCCTGCAATATCTACTTAGTCCTGAGAACCATTTTTCCCGCAAACCATTTTCCTGTAGTTTGATCTAAAACCTATGTTGTTGGAAGAAGAAACCATCCGTGATTCACCGAAGCCCGAGGAATCTAGTTCTGAGCACCATTTTTCCTGTTGTATTGCAAACCATTTCCCCGTGGCCTGTGGTTCGATCTAAAACCGATATCCAGAAACCTGTTGCTGGAAGAAGTTTACCATCCAAGCCCAAGAACAGCTTCTCAATGTATCTGTAAGCAGCACGTAGGTTGTTTGCAAGTGCAAGCCGGCCGGGTAGAAGTTCGTGGAGCTCCCGAAAACCTCTGCCAAAAATCCCTCTCTTTGATCACCACGGCCTTCTCGAGCTCTAGCCTCTTGATCGTCTGGTTTGCGGCATCCAGTTGGTCCCGGAGGTCTGACTTGTGGCCATTGAGCAAATTCTCCTTGTCTATCCCTTCCTGCTTGAGCTTCTCGTAGGCCACCTCCAGCTTATTTAGATACTCCATAAGCTCCGTGGATTTCCTCTCGTATCCGGCTATCACCTCGTCCTTCTTGTCGTCCCTGCGGCGCAAACCATGTGAGAAATCTCGATATTTCGATCGATCGCAGCTAAAATCTCATGTATTTCATTCAAAAGCAGCTAGATCTCTCGTAGAGGCTCGACATTTCATCGACCGCGGCTAGAATGACATGAACTTCTCGGAGAAATCTACGAATTGCAGCTAGATTGCTAGATCCCATACGAAATCTCCTCAAAGATCTCTTTATAGAATCACTTACATAGTGTGGTGCTTGGCCGGCGCTGCCTGGCTCCTCGAGCGCTCTCTCCACTCTAGGGCAAAATTTTCCCACCCAAATGAAGGGGCACGAGCGCGGCCACGTGGACGGTCGGATTTGCTCTAGGGATCCGACGGCTGGACAGCGCAAGGTCTGGGAGCTCAATCAATGGCGCGGCCTGGACGGGAATCTGGAGGAACTCTCAAGGTGAGTGTGCTGATCGATGGATTTATCGCGAGATCGAGCGCGCAACAATCCGCTCGATCCATTCTCCGGCGCTAGGGCATTGAGCTTCGATGCGTGACTGAGATCATGCTTGTTTTCTTGGTGTTTCCAGACGCTGGAAAAGTTGGAGAAGAATGTTCGCGATGGAAAGTTCTATGAGGCCCAGCAGATGTACAAAACAATCTTTGCGAGGTGAGAAACTCTAGAGTTTGTCGATGTTTGAGTCGTTGAAACCGGTGATTTTCTAGATACATGGCTTCGAAGAAACACACCGAAGCATTGGATTTGCTGCAATCTGGAGCTTCAATCCAGCTCCGACACGGTCAGGTTTGTGTTCTCTCTTTTCTCTTTTCTTTGGTCTGTTTCAGTTCTAAAGCTCATCTTGCGAAAGGTGACTTGTGGAGTAGAACTTGGATTGTTGCTCGTCGAGGGAATGACGACGATTAAACTGGCGTATGGTCCGGAGGCTTTGGGTCAGTTCTTTAACTTCCATTCTCTCAAAGAAAAAAAAAACTACAAACTTGTGGCATTTCTTGCAGATAGAATTAAGGCCGTTTTCAAAGAGTTTCCACGATCGCCAACGCTCGAGGCGCAATATTCTACGAAGACGCTAATCGAAGGCGTCTCGACCTTCATGAAGGCGGCGATCAGGTGCGTGTTAGAAGCCTTGTTTCTTTTTCCTTCTTTTTGGATACTGATGTACTGACTATCATAGATGGTCTTCAGAGTTTGGCGCTCCCAGCAGAGGCTCTCCTGAATTACACGAGTTGCTAGCCGATTTCCTTGCCAGAGAATCACCCCAACCTGTAAGTTTTGCTCTCCAGTTTTCTTTGCTTTCCATGTTTTCCTCAAATATGAAGAAACTTTGATATACCCCAGGACCTTGCAAAAGCCTTTTACCATTATGTTCGTGGAAACAATCCTAGTGCCTTCGCATCGGCCATCATCAGCGGCATGCTGGAGGTAAGCTGTGATTCTGTCAAAACGTTTCAAACACTTCTATGGTATGCAGCCTGAGGAAGGTGATCTTCTTCTTGCGCGCGGGGTTTTCTTGTGAGTAACAATTTTTGCTCTTTGATTCTTTCTGACGTTTCCTCTCTTCTCAGGTACTTGTCTATGGGAAACCTCAGGGACGCCAATAAGCTCTTCGATGAACTACATTCTCAGCTCAAGGACTCGTCACAAGCAAGCGTCTTGGCATCTCCTCTCACACATTTGGCGAAGTTTATCTTGCTAACGTAAGCTGTTCCTTGTAGGCAGTGACTGTGATTTAATTTGCGTTTTTCTCTCCAGTCTTGAGAGGGACGCCCTCCCTTTGTTTAGGATGCTCCGCGAGAACTACAAGTCAAGTCTAGACCGGGATCCTTCTCTTAACGAGGTAAATCTTCCTTTTTCCCTGAAAGTGGTTAACATTTTCTCGTAAAACAGCTCCTCGATGTTGTAGCGGAGAAGTTTTACAATGTCCAACAACGCAAGAATGGTTTGTTTGGAGATTTGATGAAGGTATATTCCAGCCTCACTCCAAGAAGAAAGAAAAAATCCATTCTCTGATGGTTTTTTTATCTGCATCCAGATGTTAACAGATGGAGGAGCTTAGGCCTATATATTTTCTCCGTGGAAAATTTTCATCAATTTAATCAAGTACGCTCATTAAGACTTACGCGTATTTTTCTGTTTGCTCATTCTCATTGGCTCGTTGTTTGAATCCCGGATCGCCAGCGTGGCAGGAAAAAGCGGGAAACTTGGGATCGTGGACGTGGCAATATCGTCGCCGTATATAATCGATCGAGGAGCGAATGTGCCCTACTGAAAAGATGAGTTCCATCGCAGGAGGAGGTCGCGGCAAGGCGCGGTCCGCGAAACCGGTCTCTCGCTCTCACAAGGCCGGGTTGCAATTTCCAGTGGGCAGGATCTCCAGATTTCTCAAGACCGGCAAGTATGCCGATCGCGTCGGGGCTGGAGCGCCAGTGTACATGGCCGCCGTGATGGAGTATCTCGCTGCGGAGGTGAGATTCTTTGCTCGTCTCTTTTTCGTCGTCTCAATCTCTCAGTCTCGGGATTTCGTTCGTCCCATTCCCAGGTGATCGAGCTCGCTGGAAACGCCGCGCGGGATAACAAGAAGAATCGGATCATCCCCAGGCACATCCAGCTCGCCGTGAGGAACGACGAGGAGCTCAGCAAATTGCTCGGCAATGTGGTGATCGCTAGCGGCGGCGTGCTGCCCAACATCAATCAATCGCTTCTTCCCAAGAAATCGAGCCTCAAGGACGCGATTGGAAGCCTCTCCCAGGAGTTTTGATCTAGACAGTGCTGTACAGAGCTATAGCAGATTATGGAATATAATCTTTACGGCTAGAATTCCAATCCAACCACCGGATGTTGATGTACCAATTTAGGGCCACCCGCAAGGAGTTACGGGGCGGAATGGCTAGGCGATGAGCCGTCCTTGTCCGTCCACACCGCAGCGTTAAGAAAGAGGCGCTTAGTTTTCTTTGTTTGAGCGGGTAAGAAAGAATGATGTGGGGAGTGTAGGTAGGGCGCGTGCTTCAGATTATCGCGATTCGATTTTGGTAGCTCCATCGCCCAGCGGCGCCTAGATTTCGATGCTCGGATCTACTGCGGCTCTAGGTTTTGGCTGGATCTAAGCGCCGTGCGATTCCGGAGCTGCGAGATTTCGATCGATCGGGGCTTCCGAGCCCGATGAGGTAGCGTCCATTGTTCTTTTCGCAGCAGCTTTGGAAATGGTGGAGATTAGCCCGCCGACGACTGGCCAGGTACGCTAGAATTTACTCATGGGAATGTAGATTGGATATATGAGTCCAAAATTTTTGTAGGTGGCTCTTGTCTTGGGATTCATCCCCGTGCTCACAGCATGGCTTTACTCGGAGTTTCTTGAGTATAGGAAGCAGCCAGTGCCAGGCAAAGCGTGAGTACGTCGATTTTGCTTTGATCGTCTCTAACAATGGTAAAGTTTCTTACAGTCACTCGGATATTAACCTCTCGGAGCTGGAGCATGGGCCAAGAAGAGACAATGAGAAAGACAGTCTTCTTGAGAATGGATTCTCCGTCAGTGGCACTCTCAAAGGCAGCTTTTCTATCAGAATGCAGTTGTTTAAGTGAGGCCTTTATTGTTTTCTTGCCGTGTTGTCGGTGCGCTGATTTTCTTATATCTTTTGTGGCAGATTTTTCACTCTCAACGAAACTTTTCTCGTTGAAAATCGTTCGCTGTTGAGAGCAATGTAAGGATCTTCTTTTATGATCACGAGTCACGAAAGTGTTTTTGCTCACGTCTTTATTTTCTTTATGAAACTGGCAGTGCAGAATTTGGATGTCTACTCTGCTATTTCTACATTTGTGACCGAACCAATGTATTTGGGGAGTTGAAGAAGGTATGCCAATTGGCTTTACTGGTTTTTGTGCTGATGAATAGTTGCTTCTTTCTTGCAGAATTACAGTAGAGACCTCTTCGTTTTCCTTTATTTTCTTTTAATTATCGTTTCTTCAATAACGTCTTTAAAGAAGCATGCGGAGAAGTCTGTTGCATCCGGAAAATCGATACTTTATTTAAACAGACATCAAACGGAGGAATGGAAAGGGTGGATGCAGGTGAATACCACTTGGTTTTTGGTGATGTGTTGATTTTCTTTTCTTTCGACAGGTTTTATTTTTGATGTACCATTATTTTGCGGCTGCTGAAATCTATAATGCTATACGACTCTTCATTGCGGGTTATGTCTGGATGACTGGATTCGGGAACTTTTCCTACTATTATGTGCGAAAGGATTTCAGCCTGGGTCGGTTTGCTCAGGTAACTGCTTCTTTGCACTCGTAAGTTCATGCTTTGTGAACGCACTTGCAGATGATGTGGAGGCTCAACTTTCTTGTGACCTTTTGCTGCATCGTCCTCAACAACAGCTACATGCTCTACTACATCTGTCCTATGCATACCCTCTTCACATTGATGGTTTATTGCTCCCTGGGAATCCTGAACAAGTATAACGAAGTTCCATCTGTAATTGGTGCGAAAATTGCCGCATGCTTTGCAGTTGTTATACTTGTGTGGGAGGTTCCAGGAGTATTTGATTTTGTATGGAGACCATTCACATTCCTTGTGGGTAAGCTTTCACCACTTTATTTTGGCATTTTATTCGTGTTTCTTTGCAGAATATACGGATCCTGGCAAGCCCGATCTCCCAGTTCTACATGAGTGGCATTTTAGGTCCGGTCTTGACCGCTACATTTGGATATATGGGATGATTTGTGCGTACTTCCATCCGACGGTATGAGTTTCTGCGCTGTCAGATTCGACCGTAACTGAGGTCTATGCAGGTTGAAAGATGGCTTGAGAAACTAGAGGAGCTTGAGTGTCGGCGGAAATTCACCTACAAGTCGGTCATCGTGTTTGTTGCTTCACTGGTAAGACTTCGCCTCGTTGAAGAGTAGAACGAACGGTTGAATTGCAGGTTGGATATCTATGGTATGTCCACATTTACAAGTTAGACAAGTTGAGTTACAACAAGCTACATCCTTACACGTCGTGGATTCCCATAAGGTGTTAGTTCTCTCTCTCTCTCTCTCTCTTTTTGTTTCTGGTGCTTACATCAGGATAACAGCGTCTATATTGTTTTGAGAAATGTTTCTCAGCCCCTTCGGAACTGGTCCCTTACCTTATTTGCGTAAGTGAAATCTCTACTTCATTGCGGCGGATGATTATCTGCTGTCTTTTCGTTACAGGTGGCTTGGAAAGATCACTCTTGAAACTTATATTGCACAGTTCCACATCTGGCTGAGGTCAGTTTCCTTTTATTTCAGCCAACCATTTGCTAAATTCCTGTTCATCTATGTAATTAGGACGGGAGTTTCTAATGGACAGCCAAAGCTCCTCTTGTCATTCATACCGGACTACCCCATGCTTAACTTCATGCTTGCGACGTCCATCTATATACTGGTACGCAAGAGCATGTGCTCAACTCTTAAAACTGGGTGTGCTTCTGTTTGTAACAGGTATCGTACCGGCTGTTTGAGCTTACCAACACGCTCAAGAGCGCGTTCGTGCCCAACAAAGATAACAACCGGCTCTTCCTTATGGTCGTCTCCGGTGGTACCATTTTTTCGCTACTTTACGGTGTCTCTTACCTCCTCGTCAAGATACCATACATACTAGTAAGCTTTCTTTCGTCTATGGAACCAGGCTCACTCTTTTGTTCTCACAGGTTTAAGCGCAAAGCATCCAGCGATATGTTATGACGCGAAACGAGCAAAGTGAAGGTGTACAGTACGAATTGGTCAAGTTATTCATTGAATAAGTACGGTTGAAAAAAAATAATCCAGTTTTGTAGGAGCAGCTCCACAGCAATGTGTACTATTAAAGTGGCAACAGTGATAAGCCCACATATGGTATGGGAAAAATCATATTGTTTAGCTTCTTTCGCCGGCATTTCTCCATTTCGTGTGCGTAAGCTCTCCACGTCGCTCGCACAGGAGACCTCTCCTTTATTTTAACGAGGAGACGCTGCCTGCCATCAATGTCCCAGAAAGAATGTAGTCTCCCCCCATTGGGACCACGCACAGCTTTTTTGAAAAGAGCCAGTGGTATATCCGTCCGTGTCACATGTTCGCGGAACGGGCAGCCACGATCGCGCGGCGGTTCCGCAAAGCCGGCGCGCGTGACGGGTCACATGACGCGGGTGCCTGGCCACATGTGTACGGTGTCAGTGTACGACGCTGGCCTGGCCCAGCCTATGCCAGCCCGCCCACCAAACTCCATGTAGCTTTGGCATGTAAAAACAGTAAAAAGTGGTGGCGGCGTGGTGGCGGTCCACAAATTAGTTACATTTGCCGCGGTAAAAGGGGTGAATTTGAGCATGAAGAGGGACTGGCCCAAAAAGCTGGGCCCAATGGTCACCACATTGTCGAGTCAGCAGCACGTGCCTCACGCGAAGTGGTCGGTCCATAGGACGGGCGCGCGCTTTGTACGGCGCACGTCAGACAGTCACGCCCCCGCCCACGTGGCCACTTTCACACCCGTGTTCCAGCCACAGGATGCCGTACAAGCGCCCATTGTTAATCTGGCGTATTAGCGTTTGCGTGCGCTGATAAGCGAGGGCCACCCCTCGTGCACATGGCTCGCCTGTCAGCACCAGCGCCAAGCAAGATGCGGTGCTCTTCTTCTTGTTGCGCTCTCTCACGATTGCCGCATTGCCCTAATTTCGCCCGCGGCCATGGCAGGCTTTGAGCGGGATCGCGAGCGAATTGGAGGGGCTAGGCGCAAGATCTGATCGATTCCGCGCCTAGATTTCGAGAAATGTGATGTCACAAGCTCCGGGAGCCGCCGGCGCGATCGAGATTGTGAAGAAGGAGCTGGATTTGCCGGCGCCTCCAGCGATCATGGCCGCGGCCGCGGGATCCTCTTACGCGACGGAGTTTGGATTAGGTTACGAGCAATTCGGGAGGCTCAGGCAGCCACAAGGTGAGGAGATTTCCTCCCTCCGACTTCTTGTTCTTTGGCGCTGGATGAATTTTCTCGTTTTGAAGGTGCCCCCGGTGGATTTGCCCCGGATTCCTGCAAGAAGATTGCTCCGGCTCCCTCTCCACGGTTTTTGCAAGTGCCAGCTTATGAGCAAGGTCCCAGTAGAGGTATGGCAGTATGTTTCATTGATTGAAGCAAGACTGGCTATTCTTTTCTCTACAGGGGCATTTGGTTCTCTCGCAACGCAAGACTTTCTACAGCCGTTAGAAAGAGGAGCAAACGGAAATGTAGCTGCCAAGGTCCCAGCACCGGTTGCGAATGGTGACATCCCACTTCAGCTGTCTTCCAGGAGCGAACGAAACGAGCAAATGGTTCTTGATTCTTCTCCTGCCAAAGGTACTATATTCCATTATATATCCATCCTCGATTGTCTTGCCTTGTTTTAACTTGTTTTTCGTTTGATCCCAAGAAAGCTGTTCATCACGAATGCATCTCCAAATGCAGTATGGATTTATCGATCATCCGCATCCGCTGTTCCCAAAAAATGGATTGGAAGCGAACCACCACGGAGCCGTGGGTGTAAGCAGGTACTAAACAAAGGATTGACAGCTCTATAAGCGTGGCATTCATGTAGAGTGTTTTATAACTAGGCACTGGCAGCAGGGCCATGTGAGCAGCGCAAACAAACGACCGAGGTCCGCTCAATCGGAGGGCGACGACAACGATAGCGAGGAAAGGAAAAAGATTCACAGGGGAGAGGCAGCGAGCAGGGGTACGTTTTTTAGCAAACTTTTCTCAGTTTTCTACATCCTCTGTCTGTTCGGCAGAAGATATAAATTCCAGGAGCATCGACGTGAAAAGCAACACATCCAGGTCCAAGCACTCTGCCACCGAGCAAAGGCGACGCAGCAAAATAAATGACAGGTTGAGAAGCACTCACTTTGTGTAAGTGTCCCTGACAAGTGGAGCTGGTTTTTCAGGTTTCAAATGCTTCGCGATTTGCTGCCCCACGGAGATCAAAAGAGGGACAAGGCCTCTTTTCTGTTGGAGGTAGCGGTTCCCTTTCAAAGCTTTTTTTTATATGCGTTAGATGTACCAAACTCCTCGCGCAGGTGATAGAGTACGTACAGTCTTTGCAAGAAAGAGTAAAGAAGTTTGAGGCGTCGGAGAAAGGAAGATATCAGGAGAGGTTGAAGCCTGTGCCATGGGATGTTAAGTCGGTACGGTGGACCTTTGCTTTGATCTTGTGACGTTTGTAACCTCCATAATTTTTTATTTGTTTCCAGAGCACAAGCTTGAAAGAAGTCCCCGACAGTAGCAGGGATAAGTGTGCGTTACTCGAGGACGGGAAATCTAGATCCTTTGGAGCAACGACTAGTCGAGCTATGGGAAGACAAGTTGGCCAAGCTCCATCACGACCAGCCATGTCTCCGTTAGCTTCTACGAGCGCACCGGCTGTGGAGAACTTAGACGCGACAAACACGAGAGAAAAAACAGGAGAAAGGTCTTCCGAGTCACAGCGACAAGCAAACGATGCCTCGAGACAATCCACTCCTGTGGAAACGGCAACAGCGCAACAGCAACAGGGGTCTAGCAACGAGCTTCCCATCAAGCAGGGACTGATCAGTTTGTCGACCGCGTATTCTCAGGGGTAAGAAACTCCGAGCTCGCTCGCTCGTTTTCTTTTGCTTTCTTGGTGACTTTTATCCATGTTTTTATAGGCTGCTCGAAGCTCTCACAAGCGCATTGCACAGCAGTGGACTGGATCTATCCAAAGCCAACATTTCCGTCCAGATCGAGCTCGGCAAGCCCCAAGAAAAAAAGGCAAGTTTGTGCTCGCAGCTTTAGACTCTTGTGTGTAACTTTGCTCAAACTTTCCAGGCATAGATAGGTGGCAAAAACAAAGAAACACAAACCATTGACAACGATTTACATTTTCTTCTTGTACAATCTGAGTGAGCGATGTTTTAGAAAGGAAAAATTTTATATCCAAGTTTGCGCAAAACGCCATAATCACAAACGTTTGTTTAGTGGTGAGACATGTGATCCTTCGATGCTTTTGTCTTACACGCTCACATGGGGCGGTCACGGGTTCGATTCCAAACTATTGCCAAAGTTTATATAATGTGCAGAGAATGCGTCTGCCGGCTGAAAGCATGGGAAGCTCCCTAGGGCTTTTGAGCGTCCTTGGAGAGGTGCGTTGCGGCGATCGCAAGCGCTGCTAGCGGATTTCTTCCAATGAGCGAGAGCTCTGGCGGCATTTTGCTGGATCGGTGAGAAATTATGCGCGCCTTAGGCCGGATTGGAGGCGCACACCCGGATGAGAGTAGCAATGGCTCGGAATCTCTGGGGAGTGGCAAGAACGCTCGCGCGCGAGCTCAGGTCGAGATATTTCTTTGAGTGTTGCGGAGTTTTTGGAATTTTTTTCTTTGTTGCTTGCTTGTAGGAGAGACAGGCATCGCATCGTTTGAAGCCGGAGAGATGGAAATCGGCGTTCGACAAGGATGGAAAGGTCGTTGGCTTCTCCAAAGTTTTGAAGCTCATTAGATTGGGGGTAAGCTTTTTTGATGATAATCTAGCAAATAAATGCTGGAAATTGATGCTTGGTGTCAAAACAGGGAGTGGATAATTCGATCAGATGCGAAGTCTGGGAGTTTTTGCTGGGATCTTATGGTGTGGGAACGACATGGGATCACCGTATGGAGACTCGTATCGCACGCAGGTTCGTTCATGTTAGTGTTCTTTCGTGAATGGAAAGTTCTTAAGAAGTGCCACTGTAGGAAACGATACAAGGAGTTGATCGAGAAATGCCGGACGATGCATGTCAGTATCGGGACAGGAACTCTTGCCTACAATGTTGGATCCAAGATCATGGATGCTCGGACATCAAGGCAAGGTGCTCCTGAGCAGATCACTGTAGACTCTACGCATTACGAGACAAAAGGAAACAGCGCCAGTGCCGTGGACGAATCTCTTGACTCTTTCAGCTTCACTGCTTTGCAAAGTCCAAGCCTGGAGAAAGATGCTTCGCTCAGTTCAGGAACTGGTATGGAGTCTTACGAGATGAACGCCGGGTCAAAAGCTGGAGGCCTGCCTCTCAAGACACTGCTGCTCCACGCTGACAACGAACCTTCTAACTCGGATCACTCTCCCGGTCGTATCGGTCCCAACAGTCCAAACGTTTTGCATTTCAAGTTTTTCCATCAGAGTCCGATAGAGGTTGGGAGAAGCTCCACAAGGATTTGGACCAACAGGGACAGACATGAAAACTTCAGCAGGGTGAAGAGAGCTCTGGATACAGGAAGGAACATCTCTGGTGGGCCTGCTGGGATGCTATCACCAAATTCAGTTCCATTTCAAGGGGCTGCTGCCACCGAAGAGCGCACCGCGGAGTGGCTGTGGACGTTGCATAAAATAGGTGAAGCCACGAATCCAGTCTGTTTGTAAGTGACCACTTCCTCTTCCACACAAGAGTCACTTCATGTGATGGTCTTGCAGTGATCGACGTCGTGAGAACTGATCGCCACTTGGAGTTCTACGATGACTCGAGAAACATGGCGCGCATGTCTGATATCCTGGCCATCTACGCGTGGATTGATCCTGAAACTGGCTACTGCCAAGGTACATTTTCTCATATCTGCCGTTCTGATAGCTTTCAGGTAGCTTAATTTCCAAGTTTTCTTTCAGGAATGAGCGACTTGCTCTCACCTTTTGTGATTCTCTTCGAGGATGATGCAGACGCGTTTTGGTGCTTTGAGAGCCTCCTGAGGAGAATGGTATGGTCTGCTTGGTTTTCTTAACAAGTTAAGCTAATCTAGAAATTGACAGCGACAAAACTTCCAAATGGAGGGGCCAACGGGTGTGATGCGGCAACTAGAAGCCCTGCCCAAAATCTTAGAGCTGATCGACGCACGCGTCTTCCGGCATTTGACTCTTATCGGGGCAGACAATTTTCTATTTGCCTTCCGTATGCTGCTGCTTCATTTTCGACGTGAGCTTTCTTTCGAAGAAACGCTTTGCATGTGGGAGGTACGTTGACTAGGAACTCTTCAAGTGTCCATCTCAAGTCTTTCTTTTTTCTTTTTTTCCTTCAGATGATGTGGGCTGCTGATTTCGACCATGCCATGCTATGGTCGTTTGAGAGCGAGCCTCTAGAACCTCTCCAAATCAAGCCACCGTCAAGATCACTGCTGGAAAGGATCCAGGAAGACGACTGCATGGACTACTACTGGACGAAAATCTCGCCGTTCACAAGTCCCCTGCCAGCCTCGGAGGATCCACTCTCGCAGAGCAGCAAGATCACCTACGAATCCAAGAGTCCGCTCTGCGGGCTCGTAACTTCGTGGCCAAACTTTGGCCGTCACAGGATACGCTCCGGGATGAGCTTTGGGAGGAACGGGGACAGTGAGATCTCCGTGTTTGTGGTCGCTGCCATCGTTGTTATCAACCGCGAGAAGTTCCTCAAGGAAGCACGCTCCATGGATGACGTGATCAAGGTGACAATGCTGCTCAAACTCTTTCCTCTTGACAATCGTTTGATGGTTTTCTTCCCCGTGCTAGATGTTTAACGAGATCCAGCTCAAGATCCAAGTGCGCTCGTGTGTTCGAGCAGCGATGAAAATGCGAACCAAGTACCACCAACAGGTTTGTTCGATTAGATCTTTTCTCTTTTTATTTTTTCTTTTCTTTTGTTCTTCCGGGGATCTCGTTTAGTTTGATCCTTCTCACAGTGTTTTTCATTGTCGTATAGCTTTCCAAGCGAGGAACAGGAAAGGCAAAAAGAGCCTCTTATAAAATGTAACAAAGAAAACTAGAGTGTTTTGTTGGACAGAGAATTTGTTAGGGCTTTAAGAAAGAATGAGACGAGTGAATCTCTTGCGCGGCGCGCTTGGCCGATCGCCATGCCGCTGCCGATCGATGTCCTCCACCGCCGCCCGGTAAGAATCTCTGTAGCTCGTCGCCGCATTGCGCCCGATCGACCGATCCATCGATCGTCTCGTTGTTCTATCTAGGGCTCCCGGCGAGAGAGTGGAGCAAATCGCGTGGATTGGAGGCGGAGTTCTCATCTATGGCGCTACCGCAGCGCTGGCTTTCAGCATTCTCGACGATGTTCTCATCTACAAGAAATGCAGCAGGTTTTTTGGAGGATTGGGAATTCCTCTCTTCCTTTTCTCTTTCTTGGCTGAGATCTTTGTGTGTGTTGCCTGTGTAGCAAGGCAATGGAAGTAGCGGCGGAAGATCCACGGATGAAGAGCTTCCTTGGCGAGGGATTCAAGCAAGGCTCGTGGTATGAGGCCTCGCTTGGCTCCGCCCTTCAAAAAAAGGCCGTGTCGTGCACATTTCCAGTCTATGGCGATCATGGATCGCTTGGCAGCGTCAAGTTGAGAGCTGTTCGTGAAGGTAAGTATCTCTTGGCCGCGATTCGTGCCTTGATTTCTTTGTTGCGCTCGAATTTTCTAGATCTTCTTGTCCTTGTAAACTTGTGATTTGGAATCTCTTTTGCTTTGATGCTAAAACTCGATAGCTTTCTCGAGATCATAGTTTGGTCCAGGATTTTTTATTCTTCCATGAATCCTAGTTTTGCTTCCTTGCTGCGTGAGAACTTCCTTTTCTCTCGGATTTTAGGATCTCTTTTCCTGACTGTGTTCGGATCTTTGATAAAATTTGATAGCTTTCGTGTGTGTGAGTTGATCTACTCTTCAGTCTTTCATGCTTGCTGGATGCTACTTCATGTTCGCGATGCTTGGTTTTTATAAAAAAAATTCGCAGTTTTGACGGTACTCTCTCTTTTTTTTTTTCCAGGGAACAGCATCAGTTCTTTGGCTTACAACATCATTGGGCCCGCGCAGTGGGATTTGCTCATCCTGGAAGCCACGCTCCACTCCGCCGACAAAAAGACAACCGATAGAATCAACCTCATGGAGCCCTCTTGGGACAGTAGAGATGGCCGCAAAGCAGCCATCGCCAACGGGCACCAGGATTATGTCAACAAGCTCCTGGCCAAGAACTAGAAAAGCCGATTGATACCACGATAAAAGCAAAGTTTCTAGCAATTTACGTGAAGCGCTTCATGTAAAGGTACCGGATTTACAGTAGTGTCCATTCTTTCTAGTACCTTGAGCTGTGTCTCTGCCTGTTACGGCGTTTCCTCTCCAACATGCTCCTTGGTCTCTAAAAGGAATCGAGTCTTCCCCACTCCAGCAAGGCCCTCCAGAGTGATGAAGAGTGCCTGCTCTCTGCTAATCCCGCTAGATGCGAAAGTTGTGAAGGTCGTCAATCGTCTGTGCGAGCTTCTGCACGAGGCCGTCTCGACCTCTGAACGGAAGCGTGAAGTCGCAAACCACATCGGAAAAGGGCACCAAATTCGGTACTGCATCATAAGCACAACATAGAATTTAGTCAGCAAACAGCAACCACCAGTTACAATGCCACAGCCAACCATGCCATGGCCACCGACTAAAGGCGCCATCACCAGAATCAAGGAAAACATCAAGCCGCAAAGAGGGGAGACCCGTACAAACAAACCCTTACCTTCAACTGGGTGAGCTTCACGCAAATGGACAGTGAACTCAGGAGGAAGTGGATCATTGCGCCCTTGCAACTCTACAATCCCCATCCAGCCATAGGGGGTAAACATGGCATTCACCAAGGGGAGATTTTTCTGGAGCCATGTTGCAAACGCCCCTTCATCAGCTAGATCGTCTGGCACGGGCCTGAACGCTCTTCCCCTTTTGATTAACGTTGCCTCCTCCAATCCCACTTCATCTGGCGGATGGATATGCACACGGCGCGGCGGCGAGAGGAAAGGGAAAGCCATCACAATTACGTTATTTAACCCTAATGAAAAATCAAGTTTATAGGGAAATCTGAAGAGAGAAAAATCAATTTTGAAGTCATAAAACTACAGCCATGGCACAATCTGAGAAATTATAATTAGTACTGCCCAGCAAATGTAGTGGCCTTGGATGAAAATGCATTCGTTTTCTGAAGTCAAAAGTTCTAGTTCAACAGTCGTACCAGCAAATACCACATTCTGTTGGTGGTTAGCAGATTCCACAGCAGTTGTAGAAGCCGTTTAAAGAATTTCGAGAGGGTAGGAGCTTGAAGAATATTCTACAAGTTAGATTTCGATGTTACGCATTTTGCCTCGTACATGAATGCCTACGTGTTAAGGATTGTCTTTGGCGAGCCAGTGATTTAACAGATGTCACCATGCTCGTCCCATGCATGGCGTTCATCTTTGCAAGCCTCTTCTCGAGTTGCTGCTGCTCCACGGAACCCATCTCAATGGCTCGCAGGTCATCAAGTCTCTCGTCATTGCTTTCGTCGGCGTCGTAGCGTTCAGGTTCCAGCTCAGCCAAGAGTTTGAGCATCCTCCTCACGTAAAACACTTGTTTGCACCTGCAAAACGTCATCCAGGCGATGACAGGAACAAGCACGGCGGTGGAACACCACACAAGCAAGAGGCTGTCCGATCTGTAACTTGATTCCCCCTTAACGACTACCAAAACTTGGAGCCCACGGGTCGTGATTGGAACCTGGTCTGCAAGCAATCCCCAGGTCCTCAGTCTCTCCTGCCTCTGGATCTCGGCTGGAGTCACGGTGATGATCGCCGAGTACGAGCCGAGAGCGAGCACGGAGTTACTGACACACAGAAGTGCCGTTTTCCAGCCCTGTGATCTCACCAAGTTTGGGAAGAACGTGAGCTGGGAGTTGATGAAAGGCTGCGCCGCAGCTACGACCGCGATGAATGCGCCGGGGAGCGCGACCGCGGCCACCCAGAAATCGGTGCCGGGATGCTCGAGATCTAGCGCCGAGCTCTGTGCTTGGATGTAAGAATTCTTGACTTGAGACATGAAAGAGCCCAGGATTTCTACCAGTGTCGTCGTGGTTCGCAAGTCGAAGGACAACGAGGAATTAAAAGATGATCCGGTGGTGTTGTCATCGATCCCCAGCAAACACAAGCGCCTGTTTGGTCGAGTGATGCTTGTCACCCTCTCGTTGAGCCTGAATCCCGCGGCTTCCGGGGCTGTTTTCACGTCGAAGCTCTGCAGATCAAGACCTCCCAATAATTCCTGGTTGCTCCTGTCATGCGCTGGATGAAGTTCCAAGCCTTTGCAGAGATCGAGCTTGGCGTCGAGGCTTCTCAGATTCATTCCACTCAAACTCTCCTTGCTCATGCTCCAATTCTCGAGGGTCAGCACTTTGGACGCGACCGAGTTCGCCAGGATCCCGCCGTCCTGCTCTTCCCACAAGCTGAAAAACCCCAACTTGCTTGGGGAAGAACCAGGGATCGCTTGGAGCACCACGGGTGTGAACTTGACGCAGCTTGGAGCCTCATCCAGGCAGAGGAATCCCAAAGCCCACATCGTGATCTCCATGCTTCCCAGCTTATTGATCTTGGAGACCGAGTGGAATTCCATGAGGGAAGCGTTCCTGGTGGACAGGAGTCCCCCTTTCTCGCGGATCTCTGCTGTCCAGTAAACCTACGCAAGAAAATGCCCATGCTTGCATGTTCGCGATGCTTGGTTTTTATAAAAAAAAATTCGCAGTTTTGACGAGACTCTCTCATTTCTTTTTCCAGGGAACAGCATCAGTTCTTTGGCTTACAACATCATTGGGCCCGCGCAGTGGGATTTGCTCATCCTGGAAGCCACGCTCCACTCCGCCGACAAAAAGACAACCGACAGAATCAACCTCATGGAGCCCTCTTGGGACAGTAGAGATGGCCGCAAAGCAGCCATCGCCAACGGGCACCAGGATTATGTCAACAAGCTCCTGGCCAAGAACTAGAAAAGCGCTAGCAATCGATTGATACAACGATAAAAGCAAAGTTTCTAGCAATTTATGTGAAACGCTTCATGTCAAGGTACCGGATTTACAGTAGTGTCCATTCTTTCTAGTACCTTGAGCTGTGTCTCTGCCTGTTCCGGCGTTTTTCCCTGGATTCCCTCTCGGCCGCCTTGCGAGTCTGCGCCACAAAGAGTTTTAGGTCCAATGGAAACGAGTGTGGACGCTTACCAAGATGTAGAGAACGCGAACGAAAATGCCAACGAAGTCCACGAACAGATCCAGTGCGTGTTTGATGTGATCCATGTCACCCCTCTCAGCTCTCTCGATGATAAGTTGTGTGTCGAAGATCACGTAGCCAACGACGAGTAGAAGGCCACCATACAGCTGCGAAAGAGAGCATGAATCAGTCGAGGCAATCGATTGACAAGGAGTGTTTACCTCTACTTCGAACATGAGAGCGGCTCCACCGAAGAAGCTCGAGAGGAAGTGTAGCGTGAGCATGGACGATGCGGCGGACGCGAGAATTCCACCCAAGAACATGAACTCCCGTCGCTTTGCCAGGAGAGCGGCACCAGAGAACGATGCGAAAACAGCCACTGTGGCTACAAAAGCCGTCACAAGGATGCTGCGAGAGAAATCCAACCATGAATCTCGAAGACAAAAGGAAAAGAGGGATTTTTGGGGCCTACCTGGGATCAAATTCAATCACGGCCCCGACGAAGTTTCCAAGGGATGCTCCCTCGCAAAACGCTGCTGCCATCAGCCAAGTCCATCTTTTCCCCTGAGAAGCAACGATCAGCACAAAAGTAAAACGATTTGAGCTCCAGGATCCTTGTCTAACCTGTGCCGCGTAGCTCGAGGACGTGTTCATGAGGGCAAAACTACACCCCAAGAAGCCAAACGTGGTGAGTAATCCACCGATATTGAGCAGCATATGGGCATAGACGCCCACGGCCGATACGATGAGCGCCATCGCCACTGTCCAGTAAACCTACGCAAGAAAGATCGATCGATTCAACAATTTCCAGCAGGAACAGAGGGGAATTCCTACCTGGCGGACATGGCGCTTGACTGGCTCCGAGATGCGATGGAAATTCTTCATCGCGCCGTAGTTCCAGGAAGACGATCGCTCAAAGAAATCCATGACGGAGACACCAAACCCTACTCGACAATCACAAAATAGGATCTAGGGCATGCGCGCCCTTTCCAAAAGATAAATAAGCATATTCCCCTCCCTTTCATGCAATGGTGAATATTCGCATACGGCTTATCTAAAGCCCTAGAAAAGCAATGTGCTGTGCGCGATAGCGAAGAGCTGCGCGGCGTCGTGCGATCCGAGGTAAGCGCGCTGTGGAGCTGGAATCTATGGCGGCGGAGATGCTAGCTCCGAGATTTCGAGGTATCGATGCGCCTGCATTCTCGGATTTCACCGAGAACCGGCTCAAGCACGCAGCGGCGGGGTGTAGGGATTGGAATGGTCGTCGATCGCACAGAGGGCTTGCTGTGAGAGCCAGCGGTAGCGGCGCCTGGCATTGGAATCCATCGCAATATCGCCACGCGAGGAAGAAATGGGAGGCCCGATCTGCGGAACAGGAGGTCGAGTCACTGCCATTCATCGAATGGTCCAAGAAAGGCAATGTTTGCAAGGGGAAGAAGAGGACAGACCTCAAGAAGATTCTCATCCTTGGCGCTGGTCCCATTGTCATTGGTCAGGCTTGCGAGTTTGACTACTCTGGGACTCAGGCATGCAAGGCCTTGAAAGAAGAAGGCTACGAAGTGGTGCTTATCAACTCCAACCCCGCTACGATCATGACGGATCCGGATCTCGCGGACCGGACTTACATCGCTCCCATGACTCCGGAGCTCGTGGAGCAAGTCATCGCGAAGGAGAGGCCGGATGCGGTCTTGCCGACGATGGGCGGACAGACGGCTTTGAATCTGGCGGTTGCTCTGGCGGAGAGTGGAGCTCTGGACAAGTATGGAGTGGAGCTCATCGGTGCCAAGCTCGATGCGATCAAAAAGGCCGAGGACAGGGATCTCTTCCGGCAAGCCATGCAGAAGATTGGAGTGAAGACGCCACCTTCGGGTATCGCCACCACTCTGGAGGAGTGCTTCCAGATAGCCGAGACGATTGGGGAGTTTCCTTTGATCATCCGCCCTGCGTTTACTCTTGGAGGCACTGGGGGAGGGATTGCGTACAACAGGGAGGAGCTCGAAACTATCTGTAAGTCTGGATTGACCGCAAGCATCACTTCGCAGGTCTTGGTTGAGAAGTCCTTGCTGGGCTGGAAGGAATACGAACTAGAAGTGATGAGGGACCTCGCTGACAACGTTGTCATCATCTGCTCGATCGAGAACATCGATCCCATGGGTGTTCACACTGGGGACTCCATCACTGTAGCTCCAGCGCAGACATTGACAGATAAAGAGTATCAGAGGCTGCGGGACCAGGCTATAGCAATCATCCGAGAGATTGGAGTTGAATGCGGTGGCTCCAACGTGCAGTTTGCTATAAATCCCGAGGATGGAGAGGTGATGATTATCGAGATGAATCCCCGTGTCTCGAGGTCGTCTGCTCTGGCTTCAAAGGCAACTGGTTTTCCTATCGCTAAAATGGCAGCCAAGCTGTCGGTGGGCTACACTCTGGACCAGATTCCCAACGACATCACCAGGAAGACGCCTGCTAGTTTTGAGCCATCCATTGACTACGTGGTGACAAAGGTCAGCTTTATTTGCGCTTTTTTTTTCTCCTGCTTCTTTTAAAACATTTTCGTTTTCTTTGTATGTGTGCAGATTCCACGTTTCGCTTTTGAAAAGTTTCCGGGCTCCCAGGCCATACTTACCACTCAAATGAAGTCTGTTGGTGAGGCCATGGCGATTGGGCGGACGTTCCAGGAATCGTTCCAGAAAGCCGTGCGTTCTCTAGAAACCGGTCACTCGGGATGGGGTTGCGAAGATAGCAAAGAGCTCAAGTGGGATATTGAGGAGCTGAAGTATAAGTTGCGAGTACCCAACCCGGACAGGATGTATGCCGTCTACGCAGCTATGAAGAGAGGAATGAGCGCGGAAGAAATTCACGAGCTCACTTTTATCGATCCGTGGTTCCTGGGAGAGCTCAAGGAGTTGTTTGGGGTGGAGGAGTTTCTGTCCAACACAAAACTGACAGAGCTGAGTAAGGACGACATGTACGAGATTAAGCGACGGGGTTTCAGCGATAGACAAGTTGCTTATGCGACCAAAAGCGCCGAAGCGGAGGTTCGAGCTCATAGGATCGCTCTCGGAGTGGTGCCAGCATTTAAGCGTGTGGACACTTGTGCTGCAGAGTTCGAAGCCAAGACACCTTACATGTACTCATCCTACGACGATGAGTGCGAGGCTAACTCGGGCAGCAAGAGAAAGGTATTGATCCTTGGCGGCGGTCCCAATCGCATCGGACAAGGCATTGAATTCGACTACTGCTGCTGCCATGCGTCCTTTGTGCTCCGGGTATGTATGAGCTCTTCCTTTTTTCTATTTTCTTCTTACCTTGTATCGGTTCCAGGAAGCGGGATTCGAGACAATAATGATGAACTCAAATCCGGAAACCGTGTCAACGGACTACGATACGAGCGATCGTCTGTATTTCGAACCACTAACAACAGAGGACGTTCTAAATATCATTGATCTGGAGAAGCCGGACGGAATTATTGTCCAGTTTGGTGGACAGACGCCTCTGAAGCTGGCTGTGCCTATACAGAACTATCTGGACGACTTCAAACCGTTGTCAGCCAGTGGTGACGGCTACGTGAAGATATGGGGGACGTCTCCAGATTCTATTGACGCGTCCGAGGACAGGAAGAGGTTCGAGAGCATACTAAACCAGCTCGGGATCAAGCAGCCTCCGGGTGGCATCGCTCGTAGTGAAGAAGACGCACTGGCTATTGCAAAGAGAGTTGGCTTCCCGGTCGTTGTGCGTCCATCCTATGTTCTTGGTGGACGGGCCATGGAGATCGTTTACAGCAACGACAAGCTCAAGAAGTACCTGGAGACTGCGGTCGAAGTCGATCCGGGCAGACCAGTGCTGGTGGACAAGTATCTCACAGACTCCTCCGAGATCGATGTGGACTGCCTGGCGGATGGAAACGGGGGCGTGGTTATAGGAGGGATCATGGAGCACATCGAGCAAGCTGGAGTCCATTCCGGGGACTCTGCTTGCTCGATTCCGACGCAAACCATTCCAGCGGTTGCTTTAGCGACGATACGGGACGCCACCACCAAGCTTGCCAAGAAGCTCAACGTTTGCGGGCTGATGAACTGCCAGTTTGCCATCACGCAGTCTGGAGAAGTTTACATCATTGAGGCGAATCCACGAGCGTCACGAACCGTGCCGTTTGTTTCCAAGGCGATTGGACATCCGCTGGCCAAGTACGCTGCTCTGGTCATGTCCGGGAAGAGCTTGGGCGATCTCGGCTTCAGCCAGGAAGTGATACCGGCGCACGTCTCCGTGAAAGAGGCGGTGCTTCCCTTCGACAAGTTCCAGGGCTGCGACGTTCTACTCGGCCCGGAGATGAGAAGCACGGGTGAAGTCATGGGAATCGACTACAGCTTCGACAAGGCATTTGGAAAGTCGCAGATCGCCGCCAACCAGAAGCTCCCGCTGCAAGGCACGGTGTTCATCAGCTTGAACGACCAGACCAAGGCCCAGGCGGTCCCAATCGCGCGAGGCTTCCACGCGCTGGGATTCAACATCGTGTCGACGAGCGGCACCGCAAAGTTTCTCGAGGAGCAGGGGATCCCGGTGGAGCGAGTGCTGAAGCTGCACGAAGGGAGGCCTCACGCGGGCGATCTGGTGGCGAATGGACAGATCCAGCTGATGATCATCACGAGCTCGGGTGACGCTCTGGACGAGAAGGATGGGAGGCAGCTGAGGAGATCGGCGCTGGCGTACAAGGTTCCAATCGTCACCACCATCGCGGGTGGACTGGCGAACCTCCAGGCGGTGAAGAGCTTGAAGGAGTGTCCCGTGGAGATGCTGGCCCTCCAGGACTTTTTCAAGGCGGACAAGGTGGTAGCCGAGATTGCGAGTGTGGTGGTGTGAAAAAAAAAAGATGCGTGCTCCTCTCCTCGAGTGTTTTTGTGTGATGTTTCATCAATAAACGAGGCTTGCGACTGATACCACCAAAGGTGAGCACCATTTCCCTGGAACATGATCTCACATTTTCCTGTGTAGGCCGGTCCTTGTTTCTCTTCGTGGTGGAGCTCGAGCACGATTGACGCTACCACTCAAGCTACAAAGGTGAGCACCAGTTTTGTGCATTCCATGATCTCACAGTTTGCTGTGTAGGCTGCTGCTGCTTCCTCTTCTTATTGTTGCATACCGCGTTTTCGTTCCTGGCCACACAGCACGCAGCTTCTCGTCCCAAGTGAGGCGAGAGGGCGACGTTCACAATTCTGGGACATGACAAGCACAGCGGCAGACTTTTCAGTTCGAGCAGTTGCAGGCGAGCTAGTAGCACGGCTGCAAATCTTTTGGAGCAATCACAGCAGGCATTCAGCAAGCAGGCGGCGAGGTTTCTGGAACCATGCATAGATTGAATTCAAAGACAAACTGATTCTTTTCTTGGTCCCGAAATTACCAGGCCACGCGAGTGGATCAATCGCTGGAGCTCTTTTACGCCATGATCTCGGCTCGTCACCTTTGTGAGCATTCTCTCGTGCCGCAAATTTCTTATCCCAGTTGGCACCTTCTCAAGAACCCTTGCATGATGTTAACTAGATCCACGAGGAGCACACGACCCTCCTCGCAAACAGGGTCCTGGAAACTGAAGCCCTGCCTACTGCACAAAACATACACCTTCTTCCTTCCTTCTACGTACTTGGAAGGTGAATTTGCAGCTCTAGCCCACTTGGCCGCTTCGTCCTGACTCACGCGGCCTTCCTGTCCCTTGAGCTGGAACCAGAACTCGTACACCTTCCCGTCCACACCAATCAAGAACACTCTCCCATCCGTGCATGCTGTCCCCTTTTTGCACTTGAACACGAAACCAGCGCCTGTGGGTTGTGCCTCAGTTGGGTGCACATAAGGTCTACTGTCCGCCCCAATCATTTGTGTATCACCTGGGGTATAAAACCTTTCCAGCTGCGGATTATAAAACTGATACTTCTCTTCAACCACTCCGTCACCCGGAGCCGCAACCACAACTCTGGTGTCAACCAGCCTCTGGCTCCCAAGGGCCCCCGGAAAGATCTGACCAAGAGAAACCGTTCGGCCTTCCAACACCCAGAGCGTGGCATGCAGCATGTCGAAAAAGCCATCCTTCAGCACGTCGCCTACTGCTGGCTGGGGCCTGAGAGCTACTACCCTCTCTGGGATCCCCAACCTCAGTCCAAGCGCATGAACAAGTAACATCGGGCTCTTATAGACAACTCCACCGCCTTCCACCTCTTCAGAATACACATAACCTCTGAAACATGCTTCTTCCTCCCTCGTCATCTGCCCAACAGGTGGCCTTGGCATCACCACCCCAGTGAGGCAAAGCCGAATCATTCGTTTCACGTTGTCGAGGTTCCCCTGCATGACTCGATCAACATATGGCTTCAGCTGTAGAGTCACAGAAGTTCGTAAGTGCGCAATGAAATCCCTTGCTGGAAGTTCCAGACCCTGCGCCTGTAACCATGCAGTGTAAATGTACCAAATCAGCCTCGGGACACAGCCGCAGTCTTCTAGAAGTATTTCCAGCTGCGTCCGAAATTCGTGAAAACGATTATCCTTGATAGACATACTTAGTACCTCCACCGCTGATTTCAAATCCAAGGGGGGTAATGTGACGTTCACCTTGAGCCAGTCTGTTAACCCGTACTTCCCGCCTACATGAAGAACTGTTCCTGCTAGAAGAGTTATAAAGGCAATGTTGCAGTCCTTGGCGATGGAGTTTCCCGCTAAGGAAGTCATGACTGTCACTAACCAGGAAAGCATGCCGTTCAGGAAGGCTTCACCATCACAGCCAGCTCCACTCACTTCCCTTCCCAGTTGCTGCAACTCATCCACCAAAAGGTACAAGGCAACCATCTGATTCTCCGGTACCGCAAGCCCTTTCCTCACATGAGCTGAAACCTTCTGCACAGACACGCAGTCATCTCCCGCAAGGATCTCATTCTGTAGCGCAGACGGTAAGTCACTCCAAGGCTTGCCAAACAGTATCTGCGAAACTACAGACACCCGCAGAAAAACCCGGCCAGAACGGTAATCACCTCTCTCCTTACAGACTGCCACAAAAGCCGGATGCAGAAGATGAGGTGATGAATGGCCAACAGCCGAGCCACTGAAGGTGATGTACACCGCTGCCGTAGCTCCAACACGATGAAGCTCCTGCAATGCTGATGCCCTGCCTTTAAGCGCCTCTCCAACACGCTCCTTGGTCTCTAAAAGGAATCGAGTCTTCCCCACTCCGGCAAGGCCCTCCAGAGTGATCAAGAGCGCCTGCTCTCCACTAATCCCGCTAGATGCGAAAGTTGTGAAGTTCTCGTCAATCATCTCTGCGAGCTTCTGCACGAGGCCGTCTCGACCTCTGAACGGAAGCGTGAAGTCGCACCGAGAAGGGCACCAAATTCGGTAGCCCCTCCTGAGGCACTTGGGGCACTGTATCATAAGATAGTCAGCAAAGAAGGCAAACAGACTAGCACAAACAAACCCTTACCTACAGTTGGGCGAGCTTCACGCAAATGGAAAGCGAACTCACGAGGAAGCGGATCATTGCGCCTTTGCAAGTGTACAATTTCCATCCAGCCACAGGGGCCAAAAATGGCATGCACCAAGGGGAGATTTTCCTGAAGCCATGTTGCAAACGCTCCAACATCAGCTAGATCCCCTGGCACGGGCTTGAACGCTCTTCCCCTTTTGATTAACGTTGCCTCCACTTCATCTGGCGGATGGATATGCACACGGCGCAGAGGAAAGGGAAAGCCATACGTTACCCTAATGAGAAATCAATTTTTTAGGGAAGATAATCAGATCTGAAGAGAGAAAAATCAATTTTGAAGTCATAAAAATACAGCCATGGCACAGTGGCACAATCTGAGAAATTATAATTAGTACTCCCCAGCAAATGTAGTGGCCTTGGATGAAAATGCATTCGTTTTTCTGAAGTCAAAAGTTCTAGTTCAACAGTCGTACCAGCATTCAGCAAGCAAGCAGTAGCAAATACCACATTCAGTTGGTGGTTAGCAGATTCCACAGCAGTTGTCGAAGCCGTTTAAAGAATTTGGAGAGGGTAGGAGCTTGAAGAATATTTTACAAGTTAGATTTCGATGTTACGCATTTTGCCTCGTGCGTGAATGCCTACGTGTTAAGGATTGTCTTTGGCGAGCCAGTGATTTAACAGATGTCACCATGCTCGTCCCTTGCATGGCGTTCATCTTTGCAAGCCTCTTCTCGAGTTGCTGCTGCTCCACGGAACCCATCTCAATGGCTCGCAGGTCATCAAGTCTCTCGTCATTGCTTTCGTCGGCGTCGTAGCGTTCAGGCTCCATCTCAGCCAAGAGTTTGAGCATCCTCCTCACGTAAAACACTTGTTTGCACCGGCGAAACGTCATCCAGGCGATGACAGGAACAAGCACGGCGGTGGAACACCACACAAGCAAGAGGCTGTCCGATCTGTAACTTGATTCCCCCTTGACCACTACCAAAACTTGGAGGCCACGGTTCGTGATTGGAACCTGGTCTGCAAGCAATCCCCAGGTCCTCAGTTTCTCCTGCCTCTGGATCTCGGCTGGAGTCACGGTGATGATCGCCGAGTACGAGCCGAGAGCGAGCACGGAGTTACTGACACACAGAAGTGCCGTTTTCCAGCCCTGTGATCTCACCAAGTTTCGGAAGAACGTGAGCTGGAAGTTGATGAAAGGCTGCGCCGCAGCTACGACCGCGATGAATGCGCCGGGGAGCGCGACCGCGGTCACCCAGAAATCGGTGCCGGGATGCTCGAGATCTAGCGCCGAGCTCTGTGCTTGGATGTAAGAATTCTTGACTTGAGACATGAAAGAGCCCAGGATTTCTACCAGTGTCGTCGTGATTCGCAAGTCGAAGGACAACGAGGAATCCAAAGATGATCCGGTGGTGTTGTCATCGATCCCCAGCAAACACAAGCGCCTGTTTGGTCGAGTGATGCTTGTCACCCTCTCGTTGAGCCTGAATCCCGCAGCTTCCGGGGCTGTTTTCACGTCGAAGCTCTGCAGATCAAGACCTCCCAATAATTCCTGGTTGCTCCTGTCATGCGCTGGATGAAGTTCCAAGCCTTTGCAGAGATCGAGCTTGGCGTCGAGGCTTCTCAGATTCATTCCACTCAAACTCTCCTTGCTCATGCTCCAATTATCGAGGGTCAGCACTTTGGACGCGACCGAGTTCGCCAGGATCCCGCCGTCCTGCTCTTCCCACAAGCTGAAAAACCCCAACTTGCTTGGGGAAGAACCAGGGATCGCTTGGAGCACCACGGGTGTGAACTTGACGCAGCTTGGAGCCTCATCCAGGCAGAGGAATCCCAAAGCCCACATCGTGATCTCCATGCTTCCCAGCTTATTGATCTTGGAGACCGAGTGGAATTCCATGAGGGAAGCGTTCCTGGTGGACAGGAGTCCCCCTTTCTCGCGGATCTCCGCTGTGAGATTGCTCTGGCCAGTGAAGTTGGAGACCATGTACCCCAGGAAGGCCTGGTCGCTGCTGGATTGCAAGTACTGGAGGAACTGCCACCAGTTGCATTTGTGCGAGGCGTCGCCATTCATGCTCAAGATGGCGCTGAAGCATGAGAGAGCCGCAAGGTCGCCCTTGTGAACTGAGATTGAAGCTCTCGCTTGGAGATCAACCATGGTCAATATGATCGCCAAGATAGTAGCTAGTGACACAAACTTTTGCTTCTTTGTCATGATAGTGAATCATACCAGATGCAAGCAAAGATTTGAGGTACTGCTTCTGGATTTATACATCCAATCTCAAGGGAAAGACGTGTACTATGTGGGACTATATCAAAGAGATGGTGAGTCAAAATGGGACACCAACGATGATACATGGCAACTGGACAATCTGGCTTCACGCAAATGGATAGCAAACTCATGAGGAAGCACATCATTGCGCCCTTGCAACTGGACAATCTTCATCCAGCCACAAGGGGTAAAAATGACCAATGGTAAATTTTCCTAGACTCCAACAGTGGTGGACAAGGCTATAATTCTGGACGTGTGCAGCATCAGCAGAAGCAAGTAAGCAAGCATGCAAAGCTAGTTAGCAACAATTGACAGGGAGGTGCCTGCAAAGTCTTTTTTGGAGAAGAAATAAATTGAATTCAAAGACAAATGAATTATTTTCTTGGTTTTGAAATTACAAATTGCCTTTAAGCGCCTCTCCAGTCTCTAAAAGGAATCGAGTCTTCCGCCTGCTCTCTGTTAATCCCAGTAGATGCGAAAGTTGTGAAGGTCGTCAATCGTCTCTGCAAGCTTCTGCACAAGGCCGTCTCGACCTCTGAACGGAAGCGTGAAGTCGCAAACCACATCCGAGAAGGGCACCAAATTCGGTAGCCCCTCCTGAGGCACTTGGGGCACTGTATCATAAGATAGTCAGCAAAGAAGGCACACAGCAACCAGCCAACCAGCACAAACAAACCCTTACCTTCAACTGGGCGAGCTTCAAAGCGAACTCACGAGGAAGCGGATCATTGCAAGGGGCCAAGAATGGCATGCACCAAGGGGAGATTTTCCTGGACCCATGTTGCAAACGCCCCTACATTAGCTAGATCCCCTGGCACGGGCCTGAAAGCTCTTCCCCTTTTGATTAACGTTGCCTCCTCCAATCCCACTTCATGTGGCGGCGGCGGCGGCGAGGGGAAAGGGAAAGCCATCACCCTAATGAGAAATTAATTTTTTAGGGAAGATAATCAGATCTGAAGAGAGAAAAATCAATTTTGAAGTAAGAAAACTCAATTTTGAAGTAAAAAAAATACAGCCATGCCGTTGAGCATGGCACAGTGGCACAATCTGAGAAATTATAATTCGTACTGCCCAGCAAATGTAGTGGCCTTGGAATTTTTTTTGATGAAAATGCATTTGTTTTTCTGAAGTCAAAAGTTCTAGTTCAACAGTCGTACCAGCAAATACCACATTCAGTTGGTGGTTAGCAGATTCCACAGCAGTTGTAGAAGCCGTTCAAAGAATTTCGAGAGGGTAGGAGCTTGAAGAATATTCTACAAGTTAGATCTCGTCCTACGTGTTAAGGATTGTCTTTGGCGAGCCAGTGATTTAACAGATGTCACCATGCTCGTCCCAGGCATGGCGTTCATCTTTGCAAGCCTCTTCTCGAGTTGCTGCTGCTCCACGGAACCCATCTCAATGGCTCGCAGGTCATCAAGTCTCTCGTCATTGCTTTCGTCGGCGTCGTGGCGTTCAGGCTCCAGCTCAGCCAAGAGTTTGAGCATCCTCCTCACGTAAAACACTTGTTTGCACCTGTAAAACGTCATCCAGGCGATGACAGGAACAAGCACGGCAGTGGAACACCACACAAGCAAGAGGCTGTCCGATCTGTAACTTGATTCCCCCTTGACCACTACCAAAACTTGGAGCCCACGGGTCGTGATTGGAACCTGGTCTGCAAGCAATCCCCAGGTCCTCAGTTTCTCCTGCCTCTGGATCTCGGTTGGAGTCACGGTGATGATCGCCGAGTACGAGCCGAGAGCGAGCACGGAGTTACTGACACACAGAAGTGCCGTTTTCCAGCCCTGTGATCTCACCAAGTTTCGGAAGAACGTGAGCTGGAAGTTGATGAAAGGCTGCGCCGCAGCTACGACCGCGATGAGTGAGCCGGGGAGCGCAACCGCGGCCACCCAGAAATCGGTGCCGGGATGCTCGAGATCTAGCGCCGAGCTCTGTGCTTGGATGTAAGAACTCTTGACTTGAGACATGAAAGAGCCCAGGATTTCTACCAGTGTCGTCGTGGTTCGCAAGTCGAAGGACAACGAGGAATTAAAAGATGATCCGGTGGTGTTGTCATCGATCCCCAGCAAACACAAGCGCCCGTTTGGTCGAGTGATGCTTGTCACCCTCTCGTTGAGCCTGAATCCCGCGGCTTCCGGGGCTGTTTTCACGTCGAAGCTCCGCAGATCAAGATCTCCCAATAATTCCTGGTTGCTCCTGTCATGCGCTGGATGAAGTTCCAAGTTTTTGCAGAGATCGAGCTTGGCGTCGAGGCTTCTCAGATTCATTCCACTCAAACTCTCCTTGCTCATGATCCAATTCTCGAGGGTCAGCACTTTGGACGCAACCGAGTTCGCCAGGATCCCGCCGTCCTGCTCTTCCCACAAGCTGAAAAACCCAAGCTTGCTTGGGGAAGAACCAGGGATCGCTTGGAGCACCACGGGTGTGAACTTGACGCAGCTTGGAGCCTCATCCAGGCAGAGGAATCCCAAAGCCCACATCGTGATCTTCATGCTTCCCAGCTTATTGATCTTGGAGACCGAGTGGAATTCGATGAGGGAAGCGTTCCTGGTGGACAGGAGTCCCCTTTTCCCGCGGATCTCTGCTGTGAGACTGCTCTGGCCAGTGAAGTTGGAGACCATGTACCCCAGGAAGGCCTTGTCGCTGCTGGATTGCAAGTACTGGAGGAACTGCCACCAGTTGGATTTGTGCGAGGCGTCCCCATTCATGCTCAAGATGGCGCTGAAGCATGAGAGATCCGCAAGGTCGCCCTCGTGAACTGAGATTGAAGCTCTCGCTTGGAGATCAACCATGGTCAATATGATCGCCAAGATAGTAGCTAGTGACACAAACTTTTGCTTCTTTGCCATGATAGTGAATCATACAAGATGCAAGCAAGATTTGCTTCTGGATTTATACATCCAATTTCAAGGGAAAGACGTGTACTATGTGGGACTATATCAACGAGATGGACTATATCAACAAAATGGGACACCAAGCTGGAAGGAGACTTTGAATACAGAGAATATTCCAAATGGCGTTTTAGCATATTCCTGTCTCGGCCACGTCGGATAGACTAGGGTTTTCTTTCTCCCTCCAGCTATGGCGCAGGTGGAGCTGCGGCGTTTCTCTGCGGACACGGCACTCTACACTACTGCGGCGGTGTTTCTTGTCACACTCTTGCTTCTTGTCTCGGGTATGCTGCGATCTTGCCATTCTTTTGTGAACTCGAAAGAACTCTTTACTCGGTTTGATCAGTGCTGGTGGCGTCGCTCAGGCGGAAGAAGCGCAACACGATCGTGATTCTGGGGCTTAGTGGATCTGGAAAGACTGCGCTCTTCTACCAGGTAAATTCTCCTTCGAAACTTTTTTCTAGAAGATTATAGACTTTGTTCTGGTGGTTTTCACAGCTTCGTGATGCATCGCTCTACGAAGGAACTGTTACATCAATGGTGCCAAACGAAGACACTTTCCTTCTCCACTCAGAGATTTCCAAGGTAGAAATTCTAGCGAGAACTTGCAAAACCTAAGCTTTCCTTCTTCTCTACTTTCCTTTTCAGAGTGGAAAGATCAAACCAGTTCACGTTGTTGATCTGCCGGGACATCCTAAGCTAAGGCCGCTTCTTGATGACTATCTTCCAAAAGCTCAAGGTATTCTCTTCATGGTTGACGCTCTAGACTTTGTTCCAAATGTCCGATCCACTGCCGAGTAAGTAACTTGTGACACACTCCTAGTCGATAAAAACTTCTCCTTTTTCTCGTGTAGATATCTCTACGAGGTACTTTCCAAGCCACTGGTTGTGAAGCGAAAACTCCCGGTGCTGATTGTGTGCAACAAGTGTGACAAAGTCACGGCTCACTCGGTCGATTTCATCCGGAAGCAATTGGAAAAGGAGCTGTACGTTCTTAAACTTCATTCCAAGTCAAGTTATCTTAGAAGCTCTTCGTTTCCCAAATTCCAGGGACAAGCTGCGAGTAACCCGGACAACACTCGAAGGCTCCGACGTTGCGGCCGAAATCAAGCCGGGCATCGATGGCGAGCCATTCAAGTTCTCTCACTGCGTTAACAAAGTTACCATGGTCGAAACTTCCGTGATCACCGGCAAGGTTGGCGAGGTCCAAACTTTTATCCGAGAGCAAGTAAAACCATGACAAGAAAAACTCGGCTTTATTTTTCTTGTTCCACTGTTTCTCTTTGTAACCAGCGAAAGTTTTACATGGGAAAAATGGTCCCCGTTCTCTGTACAATTTGACAAAAAACTAAAAACCTTTGATTTGTACACCAGCTTTGCTGCTGCTGTGAGTAGCGTGGGCCTGTCCCTCAGTCTATACACCACCCAAAAAGAATGCGGCCAAGGAAAGGATTCTTCCTGACCTTACTGTTAGTTTCGTGATCCCAAACTTGCTTGCCGGAGTAGCTTTTGGAACTCGGCCAAGCTGATCCTCCCGTCTCCATCGATATCTCCCTCCTCCAAGAGCGTGCCAAGCGACCCTTTCAACCCCGTGTACTGCAAGCCAAGTTTCGAGTTGAGAGATTCGTCGATTGTCGACGGACCAGAGTCGTGGTTCTTCGCGGAACATACCTGCTTGAGTTCTTCTGACGTAATGTAGCCGTCTCCGTCGACGTCGAACTGGTCAAACGCGGCCTTGGAACGCTTCTGCCACTTATCGGAGCCCATATCCTCCAGCTGATGAACGTGCAGCGTTGCTGCCACGAACTCTTCGAAATCGACAAGGCCGTCGCAGTTGCAGTCCATCTGTAGCAAAACAAAACCAGCGCTGGGTCAATTTCAATACAAAAACATTCTCTCAACGTGGGTCTTGTGCTACTCACAGCTTGTAGGATCTCCATGACCATTGATTCTTTCAGGTCCCAGGGACGGTCTTTGGCTAGAGCCTAGTCAAGAAAGTCACGATTCGAATTGGTTCCCGCCAGACCAGAAAGGAAGCGAAAGAGAAACATACCTGTTTCATCTCTTCTAGTGATATACTCCCGCTTTTATCAGCATCGATAGCGTCGAATTGGTCACGCAAAGCTGCTATGTCCTCTGGATCGAGTGTAGTAGCCAAAGCCTGGAGAGCAAGCATCAAAATGACGTCCAGAAAGAACAACGCGTTCGATTAACTTACACGAAAGGCAAGTTGCTTCAGCCGGCTGTATTTCACAAACTCCCTCATGTTCGAAAGTACAGAGATGTCCAGCGGGATTTCCAGAGCGTCGCCTCCTTCACGTACCCAAGGATGAGCTGTAAGGCGCACAAGAATCCAAATGAGAAAACCATCCAACGCAAACGGACCGAGAAACTACTTACATAAAGCCTGCGCAGCAGTTAATCTGGCACGGGGATCTTTCACAAGGAGCTTCCTTACAAAATCTTTGGCACTTGAGCCAATGGATGGCCATGGCCTTTCTCGAAGATCAGGTTTTCTTTTCAGCACCTGGAGTTGAGAAGAATAAAACGTTTATCGTAGCTAGAATCGAAAGGTTGCTTACCTCATTGAAGATTCCAGCTTCCGTCTTGTCCCAGAAAGGTCGCCTTCCACATAGCAATATGTATGTGATGACACCCACACTCCAAACATCGGACTCTGGCCCAGACTTTCTTTTCAGTACTTCGGGTGCTACATAGTACGCGCTTCCAACAACATCATGGAATCTCTTTCCTGTGAGACAAGTTGGAGAACAGCTGAATTGATGTAGTGCAATGCGTGGTGCTTACCAGGCCTGATAAAGTCCGATAAACCAAAATCTACGGCTCTGAGAAGAGAGTCGTCTTGCTGGGACTTGAACAAGAAGTTCTGGAAAAAAGTAAAGTTTTTTCTCGATCAATCTCTCGACGCATGCCAGAATTGCTTACCTCTGGCTTTAAATCACGATGGACGACACCGTTTAAGTGGCAGCGAGCAACAACCCTCAGCATTTGCCTGACAATAACCGCCGCGTCTTTTTCCGTGTATCTCCCTTCCTTCCTGTCGATCAGAAACGCAGGAATAAGCCCAGGCAGAAAAACAGCAACTCGAGAGCCTACTTTGCTAGAATTCGATCGAGAAGCTCTCCACCTTCGCACAGCTCCATGACGATATATACGAACTCATCGTCCTCGAAAGCAGCATGGAACTGGACCACATTCTCGTGGCCTGACAAAGCGTCCAGTATCTTCACCTCCCTCTTCACATCCTCGATGGAAATCGGTAGTAGCATCTGCGACAACGAGATTGGCGATCAACATGCAATCAAACCAAGCGATCGAGGCACACACACACACACACACACACCTTCTTCTTCTCGATTCGTTTGACAGCCACTTTGTCTCCAGTCATGAGCTCCACCGCCGAGTAAGTGTACCCGAATTGACCGTGCCCGAGAAGCTTTCCGATCCTATACTTGCTCTTAAAGTCCCTGCCATACCCAAAATTTGTGCGTAGCCCAAGAGGGATTGCGTTGTTCTTCCTGTTGTGCCCAGCCGGTCTCACTCGCGATTTCGCATTTCCAGTAGCTGGATCCTGTTTTCGCCGCTTGGGCACCGAGAAGCAAACTCCCATGTTCCCGATCAAAGCCCGATACCTGTCTTTTTCCAAACGATGGATGGATCTTCTCCACGGCTACCCTGATTCCAAAACGATCCAGCAATAAAAGAGAGGGATCCCTCCCGCTAACGAAACAATCTCGTTGACCTTCCACCCGCCGATTGCTCAGGGCGGCTCATCCACCGATGACGCGGAATGTAGGCGGTGATGCCGCACGCCGTCTTGGAGGAAGCCCCCAGGAAGCTGCGCGAGCTTAGAACACGATCCTTCCGGAACACGAAAACTTGAAGCAATCCCTAGAAATGCTCTCGATCGAGAGAAGCCTCCCGATCGATGCGCTGCGGTGCGATGAAATGTGGCGGGGCGGCAGAACGAGCTGCTGGATCGAGGACGCGCGCTCCAAAATTTCTAAAGCACGCAAGAAATGCAACCCCAGCGGCGAGGATGGGTACACGTGGACGGCACGTGATTGGGCACGTGTTTTAGCTGTCTAAATTGATGCCTGGAATCGAGCCTGAAACCTCTCCCCGTTAGTGGAATTTTTCCTCCACTCACAGCACGCCACCGTGTCCGAAGACTGTTGTCCGTTCCACGTCATGTCCACGGTGTTAACTATGCGTAATAAGGCGAGGTAAAAATATATGAGATTGGGAGCTTCTCTCGTTGTCGTTGCCCAACGTATCTATTTCTCCCTTTCGACCGACTTTGCGAGATTATTCTTAGAATAATCTCTCCCAATGATCTCCTCCTTTTTACCTCGCATTTACTTTTTCAAACCCTCTGTCTCGATCGATTTTGTTGCGCCGGAGTAGTAAAAAAGCTGCGCGATTTACCAGGAGCTCGCGCATCGTATCGCATCGCAGCGTCAATTCGACCATTTCACTTTCCTTCGCTTCGATTTCTTCTTCTTTCGCGCATTGAACCGATCGATTGATTCTTTGTTTGCAGAATAGCTGGAGCGATCGTCTATTCTTTGATCGTCTAGAATGCGCATTGCCTCGCAATCGCCATGACTCGCAGAGAGATTTTGGTGAGACCTTCTAGCATTTCTACTCTAGCATCACCATGACTCCCATTTGGGCAGATAGAAGATAGGGTAATATCGCGCGTCTTGGCGGCGCTTTTCACCGCGCTGTGGATCCATTCCAGTGCCGTGGGAGCTCTTTCGCCTGACGGTATGATGAGAGTATCGGTTCACAGGCCATAGCGCCATCGATGATCGTGGATGATTCGCAGGGCAGGCATTGCTAGCGTTCAAGGCGAGCCTCAACGATTCGGCGGGCGCGCTGCTGCTCGACTGGATTGAGAGCGATTCACACCCTTGCCGATGGACTGGAGTTTCGTGCCATCCTCAAACCACCAAGGTCAAGAGCCTGTGAGTGATTCTCTCTTCAAGTTCTTTCTTTTGTTAATTTTTTTCTTTCGAGGTAGAAACCTTCCATACCGGCGACTTGTTGGAACCATCTCTCCGGAGCTTGGGAAACTCGACAGACTAGCTCGACTGTGAGTTCTATTCTCCAAAGAAGAGAATGTAGGACTAACTGCTGATGTTTTCTAGAGCTCTTCACCACAACAGTTTCTATGGTACCATTCCTTCCGAGCTTGGTAATTGTACACGGTTAAGAGCCTTGTAAGTTCTTCCTTTTGCTTTCTCCATCCATTGTTTTTACCAAGTCTCTTGTCCATGTTTTACGGCCTCGGGTAGATACTTGAAGAACAATTACCTCGGTGGAACAATCCCCAAGGAGTTTGGAAGGCTCGCAAGTCTACGAATTCTGTAAGCTAATCGAGTTTGCAGCCTGTTTAATGTTGATACGAGTTGGATTCTCATTTGTAGGGATGTTTCGAGCAACTCTCTGACTGGATCAGTGCCTGACGTTCTCGGTGATCTAAAGCAACTTGTCTTCTTGTGAGTTTCTTCAACTTGTTTTTCATGAGTTAATACGTTTGTCGCAGAAACGTGTCCACAAACGCACTTATCGGGGAGATTCCTAGTAACGGAGTGCTCTCTAATTTCTCGCAGCACTCGTAAGTTTTCGGAGTGTTGCAGCTTCGACGCACTAATTGTTTCGTGCAACAGATTTCTTGACAACTTGGGATTATGCGGTGCTCAAGTCAACACAAGTTGCCGGAGTTTTCTCGCGCCAGCTCTAACTCCTGGCGATGGTGGTGAGCTTTTGACGTGCCAGTCGTTTCTTACTGATTTTTATTGCATCCAAACTGTAGTGGCTACTCCTCGAAGGAAAACCGCCAATTACTCAAATGGACTATGGATAAGCGCCCTTGGAACGGTGGCAATCTCGTTGTTCCTCGTTCTCCTGTGTTTCTGGGGAGTTTTTCTCTACAACAAGTTTGGAAGTAAACAGCACCTTGCTCAAGTAACGTCAGCCTCAAGTGAGTCCCATATTTTTTCTTAGAAAGAAGTCTAAAGCACTTTTTGTCTAAACAGGTGCCAAGCTCGTGCTGTTTCATGGAGATCTTCCTTACACCTCGGCAGACATCGTAAAGAAGATCAACTTGCTGGGAGAGAACGACATTATCGGTTGTGGAGGATTTGGAACGGTATACAAGCTTGTGATGGACGACGGCAATATGTTTGCTGTGAAGAGGATTGCGAAAGGTGGATTCGGCTCCGAGCGCTTGTTCGAAAGAGAGCTAGAAATCCTGGGAAGCATCAAGCACAGGAACCTCGTCAACTTGAGAGGATACTGTAATTCCGGCTCCGCGAGGCTGCTCATCTACGACTTCTTATCACACGGAAGCTTGGACGATCTCCTACATGGTAATCATTCTTTGAGAGCAGTAGCAAGTGCTAATCTCCTTTTCCTTGCAGAACGAGAGCCACACAAGCCATCCTTAAACTGGAACCACCGGATGAAAGCCGCGATTGGATCCGCGAGAGGCATATCATACTTGCACCACGACTGCTCTCCCCGGATCGTCCATCGAGACATCAAATCGAGCAACATCCTTCTCGACTCCAACTTCGAGCCGCACGTCTCGGACTTCGGCCTCGCCAAGCTCCTCAACGAGAACCAGTCTCACATGACAACGATCGTCGCAGGAACTTTTGGCTACCTCGCACCAGGTAACTCAAGAAAACGAAGAACTCGCGCTTAAGTTCTAACGCTTGTTTTCCATTCTAGAGTACATGCAAAGTGGACGAGTGACCGAGAAGAGCGATGTTTACAGCTTTGGAGTGGTGCTTTTGGAGCTGCTCAGTGGCAAGAGACCCACAGACCCCGGATTCGTGGCTAAGGGGCTCAACGTTGTGGGATGGGTGAACGCGCTCATCAAGGAGAACAAGCAAAAGGAGGTATTTGATAGCAAATGCGAGGGTGGCTCGCGAGAGAGCATGGAGTGCGTCCTCCAAATCGCGGCAATGTGTATAGCTCCACTTCCAGACGATCGCCCGACCATGGACAACGTTGTCAAGATGCTAGAATCTGAGATGATGCTCTCTCCCTCTCCAAGTGATTTCTACGAGTCCAGCTCCGAGTAAGTCACCCCATCTTGTAAATTTACGAATCCCCTTGGAAAGATTCTTTTAGAAGGATGCGAATAAATTTTCTTGTTGTAACAAAGCATAAAACGAGCAAGATCAGAGATGAGAATGTTTGCAAGAATTGAGTGATCAAAAGAAATTATTGCACAATGGTAGGGCCCAACGGGGCCTTTCAGACAAGACGATACAAATCCTTTGGCGGGATAATCCAAGATATTGATTAAAGCGTTGTGAGGAGGATTGTCTCCAGCAAAGCCTTGCAATCAAAGTAAGTAGCGCAGATCTTCCAAGGGCTCCATCAGTCGTCCATGGCTCCCCATGGCGACAAAGACGAAGAGAAGTCTCTCAGAGATCCTCTACTACTCCCGGACGAACAAGAGGAGAAGCTCGTCCAGGACGGGAGCTTGGATTTCTATGGATCTCCAGCGGTGGCTTCCAAAACAGGGGGTTCTCGCCTCTCCACTGCGTCGGCCTTGCTCGTTTTCATGCTCTGCTGCTCGCTTTCGCTCTATGGCGTCTCGTACAATTTGATTCTCTTCATGGTCTCCAAGCTCGGCCTCTCCAACGCGGCGGCCGCCACCCAAGTTAGCATCTGGAATGGCGTCCACGACTTGTCCCCGCTTCTCGTCGCTTACATCTCCGACTCTCACCTGGGAAGATTCAAGGCAACACTGGCCAGTTCTTTGATCTATTGCTTCGGATTGGCTTTGCTCTCGCTCTCGGTCCTGCTCGTCGAGAAGGAAGTTCACGCAACTTGGCTGTTCTTCGTGGCTCTCTACGTGATTGCTCTGGGGAAAGGATTTGTAGCTCCGTTACTGGCATTTGGGGCCGACCAATTTGATGGGAAAGATCCAGTCGAGGCCGCGAGGAAGAGCTCGTACTTCAACTGGTACTACTTTAGCTCCTCCATGGGTCTTCTCCTAGCAGTGGTGGGTGTGGTGTATATAGAAGACCGGCTGGGTTTTAGCAGCGCTCTCTTCTTTTGCACGGCCGCGATTCTTTTCGGGATCATGGTTTTTTCGAGCGGCACCAAGTTCTACCGATATGCTTCCAACTTGACAGGAAACCCATTCGCGAGGCTCTTGCAGCGTGGATCTAACAAGGGTGATCACTCCGACTTGGAGGGAATTCTCCTGGTGTGGCTCGGATCGATGGTGTACGAGGCAATGCGAGCGCAAACTTTCTCGCTCTTCGTCGAGCAGGCCGCGCTCATGGACATAAAAGTTGGCGGCTTTCGCGTCCCGCCGGCATCGCTCAACTCGTTCGATCCAATCAGCGTTTTGGTGTGGATGGTCGTCTACGATCGAGTCCTGGTCCCGGTGATGCGTCGAGCTACAGGACACTCGCGCGGTTTTACGTTCTTCCAGAGGATGGGAGCAGGGCTTGTGGTGATGACCGGGGCTATGGCGTGCGCTGCTGTGCTGGAAACAAGACGTCTCGCGAATTTCCACGACGAGCGCAACCAGATTAACGTTTTGTGGCAAATCCCCCAGTTCGCGCTTGTCGGCGGCTCCAAGGTTTTCTACTACGTGGGATTGATCGAGTTTCTCTATGACCAAGCTCCCGAGAACTTGAGAACTCTGAGCGCGGCCATGGCGTTCTTCTCAGCGTCGGTGGGGAGTTTTCTTTCCGGATTTCTCGTGAGCGTCACGTCGAGCATCACTGGAGAGCAAGGATGGATCCCGCGAGATCTCAACAATGGGCATTTGGATTACTTCTTTTGGCTGCTCGTCGCGCTGGGCATCGCAAACTGGCTCTTCTTCTTGGCCTCGTCCCGCAGATACAAGTTTAAAGAGTACATCCCAGAATCTGACTTCCACGATATTGTTGGAAGGAAGACAGCAATGTAAGCATGTGGACCAAGTCAGCAAGAATTTATCTCACAACTCCTCGAGGA